GTTTACTTTCGTTTTACTTGCTTGAAACGTACATCTATAAAGGCAAATGTAAAAATTATGAATTTCTGAATAATCTATTTAACTTAACGAGCGAAACTGTTTTGAATAAATGAAACTTATGTTTTATGTATCAACTGGCTTGGTAATGATTGCATCTACAATGGATGGGCCGCGCCATTAGCACTGGCACTGAAATTGGGTCGGATCATGTTTGTGTAATCGCCACTGAATTTAAAAAACGTTGTTTCAACTTGGCACCTGAATATTACATGTCATTTGTCATTCACAAAGGTTGAGAAGGAATAAATGTTTGCATAATTAACACTGACGTGGTTACAAACAATTTAGTACACAATTGTTTTATTGATAATGGAGAAAAAGTTCTCTTATCATTCGGCATTCCGCAAGTGATAAGACGTTAAGAAACTAAAAAACAAGATTTTCATTATCATGATAATGCTGCAATCAAAACTTCAGGATTACACAGACCTGCACTTTCCTAACAATTATCTTTGCAGATTCACTTAAGAGACGTTTTTTTTTCTTTAATAAAAATTGAAGGAGAGCAAAGTTATCACTCATTTATTTATCATAATAACATAATGTTTGATTTTACATTTATGATTAGTACTAGTTCTGCGAAACTAAATAACAGATCTTAGATATGTCCTAATTTGGTATACTTTATTTATACCTGTTTTAAAATGTGTCTTTTAAACGTATGTAGGCGGAATACATAACACAAACACAAGGTTAGGTAATAAATATACTTGTGATAAGGTTTCTTATTATACAACACAGTTTTACAGGAATACAGTAAAAAAAATTGAGTTAAATTTTGTTAAAGTTAATTTTGATTAACACATCTATTTCTTTATAGGCCACTTGCACTTGAAACATGTGACACATTTTTAATTTAAATAAAATGTTATTCTTATTTATGTTGAATAAGTTTCAGTAAGACAATTTAAACTTTCATTGCAAAAGCTCTCTTTCTCAGAAGTACTGAATTCAGTTATCCGCGGAAACTTTATTACTATAAACAAAGTTGGTACGGCTTCTCATTCGGAGATAAAACGTTTATTGCCGATATTTTAGGATAAATTCCTGAATATTTAAATAACGAGCCATTTGTTTATAAGAAATGCAACTAAACGTTCCGGCGAGGTTCAAGTGCTTTTAGAGCTTCGCTTTTATGTGCTGCAATTTAATACGAATGTTGTTTGCTTTCGGCCACTGTACCGTTTACTTTTATACCTTTCTTGTTATTGTTTTTCACCTTGTATAAAAGAACAAGCAATCGTTTCATTACTTAGTAGTGTTTAGTGTTCGATTATGTTAACAGTGTGCTATTGACGATATTAGTAAACAAAAAATCAAGTTGTAACTAATAAGTTATACATAGATATGAATATAATATTTAAAATATCACCTTTTGAAATTTTTCAATTTTATTACTTTTATGGAAATCGGCAAAAATTATTTATAATTGTTACAAAGTTTTCATATCAGAAATTTTTCCATTTTTTTTTCATTTTTACGTTTTGAAATGTATAACTAGATTCAAAATAGGCATCACAAATTGTCACTAAAAATAAACACAATTGAATGCAAAGCACGGTGTAGACCGCGCGAGGCTGTGGGGGCGGCGCCGGATGCGACGGAAACGATTAACACTGAAATGTGTTCGCTACGGCTGCTGTGCTGAGCTTTTAACGAAATCAAGCGCAAAGGCGTTGCAACTATTGTCAGGAAATAAGCTAACATTGCGTAGATTTTGTTTAGAATGAGATTTCTGGATATAAGTGATCTGTGATCTAAAATATATACTTTAAAATCGTTGACCGCGTAGTTCATATACACCTAGTGATTTCTATCACATTATAGAGTGAAGATTATTGGGAATAAAATTACAATAATGTAATAAAATATATTAATTAGACTGCATGCATTGTATTGTAAATATATTACATATGATTAACGAGAACTTTGTAGTTTATCATAAGGCCATACCTATTCAAACATCCAGGAACATTAAAAATTATCGAAATTTTGTAGATTCGGTATGCTTAACTAAGAACTCTAATGCCATGATTACTGTTTTAATTAAGCACATTTATTTCTAAGTTTTATGTTAACAAAATGTGCAACAATGTATTATTTTCCAACAGGAAATTCAGTACAAACTGCGCAGCTTTAAAATGTCCCTACTAATGAAATAGAAGTTGTTGTTCAGACACTTTTACAGCGAACAGTTTGCAGTTGCAATACGTCCAGTTGTTTGCCAAATTCGTTCATTAGAAGTGACAGGTGCCCTTGCGGGCGGGGGCGAGGGTGCGCGGGGACTAGGAGCTGGGGGGCAAACAAACAAGTGCACTCACTGAAGTAAATGTTCAAAGGAAAGGTGTAACGCCAATACACAAAGCGTGTAATGGTTCAAACGAAAAATCGAAGTCAAAGTACGTGGAAAGTACTGCATTTAGTGTCATTAAATTATTTTTTTTTAAATAAAGTAAGTGTCTTTCACCGCGACTAGCTGATTAGGCTACAAACTCTAACAAACATCCATCCATCTAAACTTTCGCATTTATAATATTAGTAAGATAAAACAAGCTAATAGGATATATGTGTAAATTTGCGTTTCCGCTGTGAATACTCATTGATCCGAGAGCCAAGTCTAGTGAAATCGCTCCTTAGCGATATACTTTCTTCAGCTTTGTCGGCGAGAATCTAGACGTCTAAGACTAGAACTAGTCTCCGAGCCGCTCGGCCGGGTTCGCTGTGAAAGTTGGTACAGTGCTATTATCGTTGATATTTGCTGAACTTGTATTGTTAGATATCGTAGACTGGTATTATTAGTACATAATGATCGAATGTTAGTGTAGTTACTTAAATAACCTTAAACGGTGCAACATCAAAATTACATATTCGCTGCTGGAAAAGTTCAGCTTTCCGTAAAACGTTTAAAAGAATCCTCCTAACATGGTCACATACGACGCTTCTTTCTGTAGACTTTTTGCACTGGATCTCTCTTAGTGACGATTAAACAACTCTGAGTGTGTCAGTTAATAATAAATATTAAATGTTATTCAATAATTTCTCTATCACGAAGTAGAAAACTGTCTCGCGTGTTCTCGCGAGTACAAATATATTGTGACCGTGGAGTCACGATAAGCGTTATAAACAAGGCTCCTTAATATCACTGGAGGTCAACATAATTGCGGTTCTTTATCTAGAAGATAAAAGAGCGCGTGACGTCACCGGCGCGGGCGCAGCGAGACCCACCGCCTGCCCCCTAGCGACCGGTCCATACAACGTAAACAACTTTCATGTGAATCATTTAAGTGGTTAATACTTTGGTGCAAATCAATATCAGTGTACATTTGACTTATTCATTTTACAGTTCTTCAATAAGAGATATTGTACAATAATAATTTATGCTGTTTGTCTGCAGCGACAGACTAATGCATGATATTTGTTCTGTTTGATTCTAGGCGTTTCTGTAGTAGAATATAAGAACACAAGTAACATCCTCATTAATTAATAACTTTAGACAACAGATGCGTTATACACAAACCAGTTCTTAACTTTTCTTGAAATTGAAACTTCACATAATTTGTAAAGATCAGGATTAAATATGTAACTAAAACACATTTCGACACATATATACATACATACACATATACATATTTGGAAGGATTTTGGATTATTAGACTCGGAAGGACCTACCACCAATATTATTGCATCATAAAATTAAGGATTTATCAAATATATTCTATACGAAGTGTAGCAAACCATTCAACAATTAAATAAAAGGCGATAATTTTAGTACGTTCTTACTCGCAATGTTAGTTTTCATTAAAACACAAATCTATACAAATATAAAAGGTACCATCACGATGTTAAAATATGTGTTTAGTTTACAGTTGTGCGTCATAAGCATTTTAATCTATTCAAGTTTGTGTCAATTTATTACTTGAAGTGCGATGAAAATAGCGCTTGTAATTTATAAAAGTTACCCCTATATAAAAACCTTTCAAAGAATAGTCTTCACAGAGAGAATAAGAGACGACCCTCGGTAAATAAGGCAATATGTTCTAGAATTATTAGTAAGAGAAGTCAGGAAAAATTAGCTCTGCAAAAATTCAAGAGCTGAAACCTAATGTCTTGAAGTTCTATTTAGTATTGTACAAAATGAAATGTAAATAATAGATACTAGAGTTGTTTCACGTTCCGAAAGCAATGGAAAGGCTTACGTTCGCTATTTAGTCCCGACACTTTCACCTGCTCCGTCGCACGATTGGTTTACGAGCCAATAAAACGGAGAAAACTTTACCGCAACTTTGATCTAAAGTTTAGATAAATTTTGAGTAGTCAATCAAACAACCTGTTACAAAAACAAGCAATAGAAAAAACACGAAAAAGAAACTTTACTTAATAATAAAACTAAATCGTACGACACAATACACTTCATAATTTATCAAGGTATTCAAAAAAGGTTACAATTATAAATAATTCTCTTTGAATTCATGTAAGAAGAACGTATTTAAATTTAAAATACATAAGTCATCCAAACCTCAAAGACTCACGTATCTTAAATCTATAATAAATAACATTGAATTGTAAAACAACAAGTAATATGTATAGTAGGTATTGAATAAGCATTGTGCGATTGCACAATCTTAAGTACATTGAACATATCAGCGTAACTTAGAATGACATATAAAAAGTTTCCATTTATAAATTACATAAAAGCAACAAAACCTTCTAAAGAATCAACTATATCCTAAAACAGGTAACATCCAATTAGATTCGTAAAAAAAAGTTTACAAAAAAAAGGTTTAATATCTTTTAAATTGCACATCTAGTCGCCGTCCGATACGGGAAGGGACCGGCGTACAAAACATAACCTCTAAATACACGTCTATTGTCCGACGTGAAAAAAATGCAGGCATGGCGCGAGGCTTGGAGCGCGCGGAGGCGAGGCGACGCGACCGAAGCCAGTCACAGTCCCGCCGCGGCGCTGTTCCCTCGCCCGTCGCCCCGCCGCGTCCGCCTCGCCGCTCGCTACACGGTACACGCTACTCGATAACTTATCAACAAATAATTGCATGAAGTCATCGATTAAATTAAGTGCCGCAGCGATACAGCGCTCCTTGCGCCAACCGACGCTCACCGACCTAAACTATCCAACAAATGTTCCCTTTACCAGGATTCAGAGTAAACTTGCGGTGCTGCACGCATGTTAAAGTTTGACAGTGAACTCTACAAGTGTCCGTGAAAAAGTTTCGTGCGATCCGATTGGCTGAATTTGTTTTGATATTTTTCTGTGCTGAAAGTGAACAAGATGAATGGAACTCCCGCTAGAAGACCTAAGAGCGCGTTTTCGGAGACTGTAAGTTGGAAACTTAAAATAAATTATGCAACTTTTATAATCAAGTGCTTTTTAAGTTAGAGTTAAGCATGAAATATCCAAGTAAAGTGTAAATGGAGATAGTTTAAAAAAGTAGGAAGAAAAAGACATTGAATGACCAGAATCTAATATCGGATACAAAGGAGACGGACGACGACCGGCTGAGTGCATACAAAAGAGACAGCATCAAGTGATTTGACCGCGAGAAATGTATCAGTCGAGTATTTGCAACTGTAAACATGTATGTAGCTAAGCATTTAAATAGACCAGTCATGTATGTTTATTGTGCAGCTAGAAGACATTTATTGTTACCGATAGATAAGTGGAAAGGTTAATTGCAAGTTCTCGTATTTCATCGTTAATTAAAATTATAGTTACTGTGATTTATTTTGTGTTCTAAAATCCAATCCTTCGTGATATAATGTGTCAAGTGTGACGCATGTTTGAAGATGTATTCAAATAATATTGTCTTAAATAAATAAGAAGGTATTACACAAGTCTGCGTTTACCCTATGACTATATTTGTCAGTTTCAAAGTTATATCCTACGTACAATTATTTAATAATTCCATATCTTTTCTTAATAATTTAGCATCTAATAATATCGTAGCTTTATCAGTTTTAATATTATCACAATGAATATAAATATCATTATCAAAGACAATTAAATTTATCAACATCGAAAACTTTATCGTATTAGGTAAATAATTATATTGTGAGTAATTATTTCATAATAAATTTGTAACAAGTAAACGAGTCTACCGTTTTAATGTTACCACTGCTTCAAAACCTGAGTAAAATACTTTTAACTACTTTACTAAAATAGGATTAAACAAAAAAGACACGGAAGAAAGAATTGTAAAAAAAAATTGGAAGACAGTATACTTGACATAGATTAAGGTGATTCCTGACATCAAAATAAAATCCATCACTATTAATCTATGGGTCCCACTTCATGTTTGAGCGATGTGTGATGTACAGAAAGTGCCGTCGCTATCAATCGAATATTACCTACCTTTAATTACCTTACCTTTCCCAGAACTTTAACGAGAGGACTAATTACGTTCGAATTGAAAAACTACGCCGCATATTTGCTTTCTGCACATTTTCCAAAAAAAGATGTATTGACTGTTAGAGCCACATTTTATACACATACATAATATCTACATCGGTTTAGTATAAATTAACAATATATTTTAAGCATAATATATTGAAATTCGAACTTAAAACGTGCGCCTAACACTTTTAACCAGACAATGCTTTTATTCGAAACTTCGTCGTTTACAAAAATACGTCGCAGATTGTGCGATGTATTAAACATGTAGCAATTTGCAATTTTTCTACGTGTGAAATATTCTGGTCCAATGTCGATGCGCAGTTGTTATGCGCTTGACCGCACCGGACCGAAAAACATGCTCAGATTCGATTCCCGCTTTATACCAATGTTCGTACGATTGTATTCCATATGCAAATTTATCCGACGTTCTTTAGGTTGTTAATTACAAAAATCAATCCTTGAGTAATTGATTATTTTATTAGCTAAATCAATATTTCGTAAGTACCAGCGCGTTCTTAAAACAACAATTGGCAATTAATTAACATCAAGTGCCATTCGGCCCGCTTTATAATTAATCACAAAATTACGAACCCGTTTTCCGCTACAACAGACATGTGCCGAGAACCCATAGCAATTCGGCGATTAAATTTAATTTTACATTTTCAGAATGCAAAGTTTAATATCAAAATTATTGTATATTGGCCTATTTTCATTGAGTTCTTGCTAACGTTAAAATCAATTTAATTATAGCATTCAAGTACATTTAATGTCTTTATAATAAACAAAAATATCTGAATCTAGAAAGGTATGCAGAGCATGTTTCTCACGCTTGAATACAATGCATTTGCATGCTCTTTGGTTTATTGAATCAAATGTATGGTCAACGGTTTCACACGCTCCACCTCCTCCTTCTTAATTTCAATCACAGTATTATAGTTTTAGAATCACAATAAATTATTCAAAAGAAAGGTTACAAATATACAGACGAAACATTTGATCGTCTTTTCTTTTATCATAAACGCGAGGCTTAATCAAATAGCACAGAAAAAATTGTGAAGTACCTAAAATAATCGATACATCCGTCGTAATGTGGCAATGGCTTGATGTAAAGAAGCCACAATTCTTGATTTCCTTGCTACGACTAATTAACCTCATTTACCGATTCGCTACACCTGATATATCAGCTTGTATTTGACAGGTGTCATATAGCCTCATGCGCTGGATTAATTCAATCTGATATAAGTTTTTTTTATACATGGATGTGAATTGTTCAAATTAATTATACTTACAAGCTCAGTAGCGTAGATATCTAACTAAAATTCCAAGTTCCTATAGAAATTCTATTTATAGTATGCGGCTTTTAATTTCACACATCAGAAATAAGAGTCCTTTTTTGCACGACGTGCCAACTCACTATCATACCAAAATTATAAATGCGAATGTTTATATGGATGGATGGATGTTTGTTAGAGTTTGAAGCCTAAACGGGTCAAGGGATTGCGATGAAATTTGGTATAGATGTAGAGGATTGTCTGGAAGAACACATAGACTACCCACTTTTGTTTTTGTTAATCCCACGAGGACACATTCTTGACTTCAGATTTCTAAATCCCCAGGGAAGTTCTCTAAAACCACAATGGTTGTGTTATTAGTCGCTTAAGGTTAACTGTACACCTTGTTTTCTTAGTGTTGGCAGTTGCCACTGACCCTAACAGAATTTCCTCTCGGTATATCAGTTTCAGAATATGATAATTCTATGATCAACTCGGAGCCTTCAACACTCCGAGTAATCCTTTGAGAATCGTCCCACGTAGCAGCGATGACATTCTCAACACCAATTTGCAAGTATGAATACAAACAGGTGATACGACAATTCAGGGACTTGTCTTAATATGTTTGCAATACAAGACAATGTTACAACTGTCTAAGTACCTAAACAGATAACTAGACATCTTGAAAATCTAAGAAGTTATTAGAAAATATTAAACTTGCCTAATCTAATTATCTGTTATACTAAAGAACACGGTGTAAAATCTTAAAGGGTAGTATAGTTAAACCGCGTATAGTTTAAAATTATTTTACTTTCTGAATGAAGGTAAAAGTTACTAGTTAGTTGCGTTTTTAAAATATCAGAAATCTTCCATCGGTGATTTAATTTTGAAGCAAAACGTTATCCTATACTTAGGAAGTTTTTAGCCTCATGCGGTTTTCTTTGTCTTCCTTAGCAGTCTAAACGGGCCTATTGTATTGTCAATAACAACATCGATGTAAAGATTTACAAGTACGGCGACTCAGACGGTTAAGGACATAGAGGATACGTACAGAATCGAAAACGTCACGTGTCGTGAAAATTGATACGGTTATTATTGGATCGTGCGAGCGACGTCACGTGCGGGAACTATTCAATGTGTTGCTCGTTGTTGTATGTTTATGATTTTGATTTGTAAATGATCATGGAATTGTAAACGTCCAGACTTCGCCATATTTGTAAATAAAATCTTAAAACTATATTATTATAGTCATTTCCGACTTCATCCACGGGAATTAAATTAAAAGAAGGGCAAATTAGGGCATATGCTACGTATGTCTTAATCCAGACCGCAAAATAAGAGGTATTTTAGAATTCCAATCAGGTCCATTCAACCATTCTGCAATAACGTATTAACAAACAACATGTTAGTACTTTTTTTGCATAAAACCTTGTAATTAGATATTCGCTAATAAACCATAAAAGCTGACGTAAACAGAAGGAAATCCACAATCTACCAATCACATTATCATTATGTACAGAAATAATTCAATGGAAAATTTTTAAACAATGCAAACTGTGAATAAAACATTCACACAATTTCACTGCAAATTAAATCATGAACCAACATGCAGATTTCCGAACGTCCAGTAATGTAAAATTCAATGTTCTACGTAGGTATCAGAGTATAGTACATTATATTAAAATGTAACATGAAAATATCCAAAAATTGTTCAAACAGCTGTCGGGCTAATGTCATACGACACACCCGTGTGTACGCAGATACATTTCATTGTATTCACAACGGCTCACTTCAGCAAATTTGACGTGTACTTTTTTAATGGTTCCATCAGGCCCTTTCTAATCAAACAAAACATGGTCACCGCATGTTCGAATTTCGTATACCGAGAGAATGGTACAAATATAAAGTACTTCCCTTCCAAACAGCACATGAGCACCAGGTCTTTTGTACCGTCCATAAATAGTATAAAAGTTCACTGAAGAATACAACATCGGTACAAGGGGAGCTGTAATAGGACACAGGTGTTAGAAAACATTTTGTTATGTCAGTACTATCGCACTTTAATAAATATTTCAAATCTCTTTTACAATATCATAGAATAGTATATTATATGTAACAGCTTCATAATATTTTTAATTACAATTACGCACGTGTTTTAAAAACAAAAGCATCCTTCTCAAATCAGAAACTCAATCATAACTTCTTCAACTGTAGAAGTCAGCCTTTGTCTGGCTCATTACCTACACCCGTATGTAGGAACTTCCAAAGACTTAGGAATCAAATTTTAAACTATGTGTAAAAGAATTTATAAAGAGGTAAGAAAGAGGTGGAACAATGGAACGTAGAACCTCATTTAAAATATTGTAGGAAATAAAAAAATTATCAAAAAACATCGATTAGTACAATAGTGAAATAATCGGTTACGAAATTATGGTTGTCACAGACAAAAAGTTATTGCCGTTTTCCGTAGTTCTATTTTCAAAAAGTTTATCGCTTGCTTCCTTTATCAGTGTTAAAATAATATGGATGCAGTCAACCGGAACACGTGACATCAATTACTGACTACTCGGATAGGCAATATAAATGAATCGATTTGATCGAAATAGAATTTCATTTCATTCTAGAAAATTCTCAGTTCTATTCATTTTAGATATT